CCCCACAAGCCCCCCCCCATACACATGCCCCCACACCCCCCCCACACTGCTATACATGCAGACCCCCACATTCATACCGCCTCATACTTTCAGCCATCCTCCCCCACACAGTCCCCCACAAACTCCATACCCCACATCTCCACACACTCTCACATGCTCCTCACCCCACACCCCCACACTTGTCCACCTCTCATAGGCACACCCATACCCCACATACCCAGAGCCCACCACAAACCTATACCCACCTCATCCCACAATATACAAGAGGTAAGACTTCATTTTAAGCTATTATATACAATCATTTCTATGTACACTACACAAATGCATGTAAAACAGGACAAAAATATTTTTAGAAATCTGGTTCTGAAATGGTAAAACCCCTTGCTGAAAAGAATACTTCCAGGGGCAAGGGGAGGGACTTCTGGTGGCAAAGGTCAGGTGTTAGGGGGCAGGACTTCATCACAACATAGTAACTAGGGGGCTGGGCGCCTGTCAAGGGGCGGGGCTACCCATGCGGCCCTTGACAGCTCGCCAAAACTGGGTAAGTGGCCCAAAATATTTGCCTGCCCCTGCTGTAGAGCCTGCTGACTGATTTTGGCCTCCCCACTTCTATTTCACAGCCTTGCAAACTGTTTTTAGCTTTTTCAAAATTGTAGGTCCACCCACAGGAACTAGTCTGCCACATGAAAGTCTTTGGTTTTCTCATTTCTGTAAATTGCTAACATTCAACTTGTAAGTATTGTTTTATACCTATTTAACTTAAATGCATTGCTTACATCTTTTTTTAGAATGTAACATATTCTGGAAGACACAAAGGGCACAAGTTGCACGTTAATCGTCAGAACAGCTGGCTGGGTGACATTTTGGACTGGCAAGATATTGCTTCCTTTGTTCATGACAACATTGAGACATTTCTATCGGTATGTATCTTACCAACTCAATTCTTGCAAAATATTCTCCTTTTAAATTGATCTTAAGTACTACTTGCTTATCACACTTTAAGAATAAAAACATACTTAAGAATGTATGTAAGGTTCTACTGTTATTGAGACAAAATTAATGTTTTAACTAATATTTTTTAAGCATCAATCCAGTTCTGTATTTCTCAGCAAATCTAAAAACGTAATGGGTTATGATCACTAAACACCGTCCCATTTCAACATCCATAAGAATACAACTTGTCCAGCCTTCAAGCCACTTCTGCCCAAGGGGTGCCGCTGTTGCAAGATTATTCTATTCTGCAACTTAGTTTCAAATTAAGCTTCCGTAAACCATTGGTTTCTCCTTTTCTTGAAGTTAATGCTATGAATATCTGTTTATCCATCTATTTGTGCAAGACTTGGTACTTGTCAAAAACTTATTTGCTTTAGTCAATTTTCCTTCAATTCATATCACTCTATTTCTGTGGCACAGTTTTATTCTTGTCTTATTTGATCATTACACTTCCTATTTGACCTATATTTTATCACTTTTAAGTTGCCTATCCGCAAGGGGAAAACTAAGAAGCTATAATAAAACAGACCTCAATTTTTGTTTTCAGAAGCTGAAAACAAATCAAGGGTAAAGTCAAAAATTTAAATACTTCTGTAGTTCATTTGGAAAATTCTGACTTGGCAAATGCAGAATTAATGGAATTCTAATAAAACTAACACTGATAATATTTGACCCAAAATAACTATTTTTTGTTCACAGTTTCAGTCTATCAGAAGTATCTATCAGTATCAAGGTTGTAGGAGAGTGGTTCTTCAGCCTCTCTTTTTCCACGTTACTATTCATTGTACTGAAAGGAGCTTATTCCTTCTTTATAAAAGTTCTATGAAGAATGAAATTAATATTTTACACTGTATGGGTTCTTGAATTAATGCCCTGGACGTTTCTCACCTCTTGGAAAAAATAGCTTTAAAATCAATTCAAACTGAATTACTCTCAAGTGGTCTATTAGGTCAGAGATGCTTAATATACAGAACTTCTTTATTAGTTTAGGCAGTTTAAGTCATTGATATGAACTGTCATTGTAAAATAGAAAAAGAACATTTTTAGGTTAATGTTTATCTGTTGTCTTGGAAAATAATTTATTTATCTTACCTTCAGCCCAGCATTTCTTGTGGATGCGATTTAAACTAGTGTTCCCCAAGGCATTTTTGCCATGGGCTGGTAAGCATGAATTTATCATGTGTTTATTCTTTTTACTCTAAACCACTTCTAAAGATCTTGCAGTTGTGACACACTAAGAATACTGGAACAGGATGAAGTAATTTGAGAAAAATCTTTATTACTTTGAATATTTTTTTTACTCTATACAGAAATTTTGTTTATCTTGAAAAGACTTGTGCAAATATAAGTCAAATTAATAAAAATGCATGAGCACATTTAAATTACTATGCAATTTCTGCAAAAGAGATTGGAGAAGGATTTGCATGCAACAGGTGTCTTAATGCATTTCCGGAAGGTGCTCTGATACCATTGTGATGACTATGCTGCTATAATATAAAAAGATGGGAATAGCAGAGAATTTCATGAAGAGGATAAATATTTTTAAGGACTGAAATCTGAAAATACATTTTTAATGGAACTACCATACAACTTCCAGCAATATCAAGTGTTTTATTTTCTTTATATTTTACTTTAGAAATAAGAAAAAGAGAAGCTCACAATAGAGACAGTTTTCCTGTTTGTATCCATGAACTTGCTCTTTTATCTTTTGCTAAGGGAAACACCTGTCCCTTTTCTCTACACACTCATGTCCTTTATGATCTACTGTAAACTGCTGAGTATAGTGTGAAGTTGTAAATTATGATTTTATATCCTTTCTGGGTAGTATTCCCTTGGCTCTTGCTCATGAGATCCGTTACACAAATATCGCTCTCTCTGTTTCAAATGAAAATCAATGCAAAGTTGGTTGGTGTGCACTGCTAGGATGTTGAAACTTGAACATAATTAAAAATGTTTAGTATCTTAAAACCATTGGGCATTTTTATACATGCAAGCACCACAGCACTGGGCACTTTGAAAAGCACCTGGCACTGCGTCATTTGCAGTTGTGTAAGTGGCAAACTGCACATGACTTCTGAGAAAATGGTGGCGGCATGCTTTTGAACTAAAACACACAGGTGTTTTAGTTCAAAAGTGCACTGCCACCATTTTCTGTGCTCTGACACACATTTCACGGCTTCTACAATGGCATATGGTGCAGCGCAGTTCGTATCAGTTTGCATGCAGAGCAGACTCATTTAATCGAGTCTGCTCCAAAGCGGCGAATTTCCAATGCGTCGCAGGGCAAAAAGGTATGTGTATAAATGTCCAAGATGCTGAATTACCATCACATACAGTGGTATTTTTAGGTATATTTAGGATTTAAGTCTTTTTTCAGGTGATGAGAACCTTTTATTCGCTTCTTTGGACTGAGTGTTTTATTTGTCTAGTACAGGGGCTGGCAATCATTTGGATGGAGGGACGCTTACTGAGTTTTGGCAAACCATCAAGGACCGTATGACAGGCAGCTAGGGGCAGATAAATATTAATTTTCTAAATTTTTTAGGTGCCCCATGGGCCGGATAGAATGGCTTGGCGGGCTGCATTTTGCCCACCCCTGGTCTAGTATGTCTGTTATTTTGGAGGTGGGCTTTTTTTCTTCAGTGTGTCTTTGCCCTGTACTTGGGCAACAAAAAAGATAGGATTCTGGAGAAACTAAAGTTCATTGGAGCTACCCTGGACTCTGCAACATTATCCACTTACCTCCTGTGGGATATCTTTGCAGTGTTAAGCAGGTTTATTCTGTTGGTTGAAAAATGCCCAGCAACAAAAATTGGATCCCTTCTGTCTGTTCTTAGGCCTGTAACCTTTTGCATTTCTGTGACCTGGTGACATTCCTTATCCTAAAGGCCTACAAAGCTGGAAGCATGTGGTGTGGTGCACTGTTCGTTTTATTGTTGCATCTCTGTTCAATGTCCTTATGTTGCTTCCCTGTAAAGCTAATACACAGAGAAAAAGGGGTTAATAAGGGTCCCTGCTAAATGCCAGAGCTGCCCACGTGTGGGACAAGACTAGAAGGATCTTCAGAATCAACAGGACTTGAATAGCTGTGTGGAACTAAAGGTGGGCTTTAGTATTCATCCTTTGGGGAAGATGTACCAGAGGCACCAAAGTGAGGAGACTGATAAGAAGCCATGACAAAGGTCAGAGGAGCAAGGAAAGAGGGTGGTGATCCAAAACAGTCTGAAAAGAGACTCACTGACTCCCTTTTGGGGCTTATGGCGTTATATACTGGGGAGAGAGTAGCTAAGTAACTTTGGAGGGCTCAAGCTATATGAGCTGAATTGGAGATAGTAGGGGGCCTGCTTTAACCCTTCAGAGGGAGACAGAAACTTTGGCTGGGCAGCCTTTGCCACAATAAATGTTTTTAATGAAAAGGAACTGTTGTTTTTCTGCCTGTGATTTTTGTGTTGCACTTCTCCCCAGCAAGAGGCAAAGTCCCTCTCTAAAAAGTAGAATTGGAAGGTAACACCTGGAATCAAAGCTGTGGAAAACAAGGGAAAGTTGAAAAATGAAAGGCCAGGGTCCTGAAGTTGGAGGTAGTCATCTCTACTCTAGGCTGGTTTCAGGGGGTACTCAGACCAGAGAAGTCCCAAACAAGAGCTCCCCTACCCACTCTGCTTATTGCCTCAGCAGAGTTGTACCCCTATATCATGAATAGGAGATTAAGGATTTCAGATCTATTTTTGCAAATTTGGGTTGCCCACTGGTAGCTCTTTTTCCGAACAGCATCAACAAGAAATGCCTATCTTTGTGATTCAGGAGAAACCTCAGCCCAAGCTTCTATCCGATACATTCCTAGGACAGTTCTGGTAAGAACTTCCTGTTACTCTCTAAGTAAGAGTTCTCACAATGTTACCACTTGTCCTGTTTCTCTTGGAGTCAGGCAAAAAGCATTAACCTTAATTTGTCCTATTTTGCCACTCATTCTGGACTATCTGATAGAGTTTAAGCATGCTAACCTCTATATCACTTCCATTGAAGTGTGCATGGCAGCCTTTTCAGTGTTGTATTCACTTAGTGAACAATGGCATATGTTCTACCACCCAATAGTCTTAAGATTTCCAAAGGACCTTATCATAGCGTTTTCTTACATTAAGGTGATTTCCATCTGGACCAGCAGATAACCTTTTGAGGCGGGGAGGTGTCTTTTTCCCCCCTCCTTGAGTGCTTTTCCATATTTCCTAGATGTCAAAAAGCTTTGACTTATTATGCACATAGAACCAGACCTTTCAGAAATCTTCATGGCTCTTTATCCTTAGCAGGGAGATTGAATGATACAGTAATCTCAGCCCATAAACTGTCTGGCTAAATATTGGATATGATCTGAGCCCACCAAAGTGGAACTATAGTCCCAAATGCAGGTCCATTCTACCAGATCCCAGGCCATTTCCATGGCCTTCCTATATAATATTCTGGATAGGCAGTTGCATTTTCAGTACTATCTTCTGATCCCCAAGTCTACACCTTCCAGAATGGGGAGGTCTTTGTTTTGATCTCTGGGCTGCATGCAGTCTTGCATTTATAGCTGTGGAAAAAAATTCCACCTCTAGAAATGAGTCTGGGAAAAAGAGTGGTGCAGGTGGTCACTTTGCAAGTAACTGCCCTCTCTCTCCTGCTCCTCACACTTTCCCACAACCCAGGGTGCTTGTGGTCTGGAGAAGGCATGGGGAGGATCAAGGCAAAGACCCCTTTCCCACTTCTCACTATGGATTAAGAAGGTGGTATGGGACTCACAGTACTGCTACCCCCACTTGGCTCCTGGTGCCTAGGAGCTGAGCAGATGGAGCTGCTTGCTCCTCATTCCAGGGACTCCCAGGGCTCGGAAGCCAAGCAGACAGAGCAGCGAAATTAAGATGCCTGCCCTCTTCTTTATGCCAGGGGCTCCAAAGTGAGAAGCAGGCAGGTTGCTTGCACCACTGCTCCCAGTGTCTGGGAACTGAGTACACAGACCAGGACAGCAAAGTCCCCTGCCTGCTTCTCACACCAGGGACACCTGTGTATGAGGACCTGGTGGGGAGCAGCTGGCTGCTGCTTCTTCACTCTCCTCCCAGCCTACAGGAGGGGAATAAGTACCTGTGCCCTTGCCAGACGAGGTTACTTCAGGCTCTGGAAAGCAAAGGAGGCTTTCCCTGCAGCTACACTCCTGTTCCCGGGAGTATCTTTCACCTGATTGGAGTCGAGCAGTTTTTCTCTCAGATGCTCTACTTTTGCTCCAGGAGAAAATGCTGAAACATATGTACACTCTTGGTTTCTGCTGGAAGAGTGGCAGTTCTCTCAGTGGGAGCCAAATGTCTATATGTGGCCCAGGTCTTTCCTGAAGGAGGGAGACTTCTGTAGTTCTGAGAAATTTGGTTGTAATGGCCCAAAACAAGCACTTGCAAGAGTAGCACAGATTTATTTTGTAGTGTCTCTCTCTCTCTCTTCCCACCTCCCTGCCAGGGTCAGTTGTTTTATGTTTATATCAGTGATAAACATCTAGGTTCTCCTTTATTTTTGTGAATATATATTTATATACAAGTCTATTATAAAGACTTCTACTATAAAGCTTTTAATTCTGTTTCCATAATTTCTAAACTGTAAAGAGGATGAAGCAAGTCTCTTGCAAGAAGTTACTTTTTTAATGGCTCTGTTTTTGTCTCTGATTTTCTTGTCTTCATAAATATTTTATTAATCTGTATGGAACATTCACAACTAAACTAGAAACAATGTGAAACACCTACTTATAAAAGAAAAAACATAAGTATTTTTATATGAAACAATTTACTTATCTATATTTTGCAATAATCAGTCATTTTTAGATGTTGGGTAATGTTAAATGAAGTTTGTTTTTGTGACTGTCTGAACCATAATAATAGGAAAGAGAGAAACCAATGTGGGATAGGAGAATTGGTACAAATTCTTGCAAAGAATTTTTTGAATTTTACATAGTTCTTTTATATTGTATTAAAGATCAGAACTGTTAAGCCATTTGTAAAATAGTTGCAGGGTTGAATTCCCATTAAATAACTAATTCCAGGGATTTATTACTCCAAAATAGATACTTATTGGTTTGGTTTGCTAGTTGAAGTGTGGGGAGAGAGAATTATTCTGCATAGTAAATACCTTTAATAATGTTTGGAATATGATTCTGACATGCATTCCTTATTTTAATTTTATGGAACACATTCATACACTCCTGTTCCTTTATAGGTTTTAATACCATGCACACTAATGAGGTACTTGAGCACTTCCCAGAAGTGCATTAAGCAATATGACTAACAACCATCACACGTCTGTTCTTTCATTCTTCCCCTGTGGGGAAGAAGTATGTGCAGGAGTATGTGGGTTGAGTTTGTTTTGTTTCATTTTTAATAAAATTCTATCTAGATATACACACCTTGCTTTGTTATAGAGGGTAAAGTCACAGAAATCCATTTTGTACTTGGAGCAGAAAGCCGTGAGGTTTGTGATGGTTCTGTTTTTTTGCAGGAAATGTATTTCAGTCTTGAGCCAAACCTAATAAAGTTCTATCCCCTGTGCAGATGAGGTCTTACTTTTATAATAAAAGGGTACCAAAGTTGTATATCAACCACAGTCTTGTTCCCCACCTTTATTTAAACAACATGTGTTGAGGCCCTTAAGCACCTTGAACATAAGGACTAATACCATGAATTGGATTCTTTATTCTGTGGGAAGCCAGAAAAAGTGTGATGTGTTTCTGGTAGCTAGGGTTACTCTGGAGATGCTGCAGCATTCTATACTAGTTGGAGTTTGCTCAGTACTAAAAGCCTATTACCTCAGTATAATGTATTGGTGCAATCCAACTGGGACAGAAAGAGGGCACGAATAATCTCATGTTATTTTTATAAGCATTAGGAATGACACGTTGCTCAGCTAAATTTTATGTTTAAGTAGATTTGATAAGTGTTAATGCTGAAACTGTCATATTCGTGTTAGTTAATTTTACTGAGATTTTAAATTTGTTTTTTCCCCAAAATTATTAATTAGTTTGCCTTTTACCTGGTTCTAACCTTTTTCTCTGCAATAAGGTGGTTACATTCTGCTCCAAAATCACATTGGTCTACAAGAGCATCATAGTCATACAGGTCTTTTCTTCCTGTTTTAATTTACATCTGCTGCCTCCTCATTTTTTATATCCTTTCCTTCATCTTCCTCTATAGGGTTGGGGTGCAGGGGAGGGAAACTATTTCAGTAGATGAAAACACTAAAAAAAAATGTTTTTAACACAGGTTTATATTTCTACCTGCCAGACAAGCTGCTGGCTTGAATTTGGGGGGAACTGACTGTACTGAAGAATGAACACTTCTGACTTAGGAGACAGGTCAAGATTCATTTCTAAGTTTCCTATTTCAGGTTCCAGTGTTCTTTCCCATTTGTGCTCTCCTGTTTTATTAGAGTTGGTTAAAGAACTTATATTGGAACATTTTTGGATGGAAATTGGGAACTTTGGCTGCCAAAATGAACATGCTCATTTGGCTTAATTGAAAAGTTTAAGAGTTACACAAAACAAAATGTTCTTCTCTAAAGCATTTTTTTTTTCCTGGTGGAAAGAAGAATCCTTGCAGAAAGGGATCACTTTCTAAGCTTCTCTGTATTTTAGGTCATTCAGCTTCAAGTAGTGAATTCAGGTATCTGTTTCTTTTCTTTTCTAGATCTTGGAGTCTCTGTGGATAGTAATGAGTCGCAATGTGAGCCTGCTGTTTACCACAGTAACAATGTTGGTGACTATCCTCTTTCATAGTGGGACAGCCCTTCTCAATTTTGTGCTCTCACTGGTAAGTTACATGCAGTGGACTGTTAATGTGATTAGCTTAGTATAACAGAGTGGTGTAGTCTTATGAGTGGCAGACAGCCCTGGGGTAGGAGCGGACCTGTGGGTGATTAGCTGGCAGTTAGAAGCCCAAAGAGGTTTTGCTGGGGGAAGGAACAGTTTGCAGGTAAGGAACAGACTGAAACTCAGCAAAATTCACCGCTAGGAGGGAACCAAAGTTAGAGTAACCTCTCCTGCCACGTGGAGAAAGTCTAAAGGCCTGCTGTATTCATTTATTTGTCTGGACCAAGGAATACTGTTTTGTGTTATGAGGACTGGCTCTGGGAGCCTACTTCCGAAGGACTCGTAAGGGAGCAAAGCCTGCCTGCGTGGCACCAACCTGCTTACACTTACTTCGCTAATAAGTAGACATATTTGTTTGCTTCCACCAGGGGGATTTAGTTTTTGTATCTTTAAAAACAAAATCACTTTAATGAATGTGTCTTCATTAATCAAATTTTGGGGTGTTGGAGTGATTTGGCTGTGTAGGGGTATAGTGAATCAAGATATGGCAGGATGTGTAGCAACTTTGTTCATTTTACTGGTAGAAATTTGAGAGATTTACTCTGGTAGAAATCTTTCTGAGAGAGTGTGTACAGCCATTCAGCCTGCAGCCACGTTCTCTTCCCTCCACCAGAGAAGGACTTAAAGGGGTGGATTGGGGAGGGGTCAAGAAACAGCTTCTCTGCTCTGCCCCTAGCTTTTTTGACTGGAGATCCTGGCCAAGGAAATGGGTAGGAGGCTTGGCTTCCCTGCTCCAGACTCCTCCCGAACCAGGACCAGGCCAGGAAGGTAGCATGCAAATGTTCCCTCTTGAGAGAAACCCTCTCACAAGGGAGATCTCCCAGATTGACACTGGCAGAACCCTTGTATGCTTCATAATTCTACCAGGAGACCAGCAGTAGAAATGTAATGACTAAGACCGTGAACAGACATTTGTGAGTAATGCAGATCACCTCTTGTTTACGATAAAAGATTTAATCTTTTCCTGCAATCAGTGCATGTTTTCCTCATTCTTGATGGGTTGTGGGTGGTTTTGAGCCATCCTGAACACTTTCCTCCTGATCATTACCAGTATAGCTTCTGGCAGCATAGAAGTTGGTATCAGTTACATGTGGTAAAATTCTCATCCCATGAGGGGGATGAGGAGGGTATCATTCTAGAAGTTATGTATTGTTGGGATGTGCAGAAGGATACTCCTGTCAAACTGCTTTTCCTGGACACATGCTCTACTTGTACAAGCGAAGCTGCACTTTTCCTTTTCGACTTTCAAGTGGAATCTGTAGAGAGCTGGTTAACTATCTTTTCATATATGTTGTGCCCCTGGAGTTTCAGGAAATAGACAGTATGGCTCAATCCTTGCACAGTCATGTGCTCTTAAAATGTCACATTTTATGTACTTAAATTTTGGAGTTCTAAATACCTTTATTTGGGAATGTCTTTTGTGTCCTAATGCCTACATGTGCCTTCATTATCTTGGATCCAGTTGTAGCAGGCTTATAGGAAAAGGAAAATTAAAACCCAACACATTTTAAAAATCCCTATAGATATTATCTAAAATTTTCATAATTAAGATAGCATGAATTTTACATCTGTTCTTTTAGGATTGTTTGGGCTTAGGGCAGGGATAGGCAAAATGCAGCCCACAGGCTGCATCTGGCCTGCCAGTTGATTTGTATCCGGCCTGCAGCTGCCCCTGTACCACTCCTCATTGGACCAAGCCCCACCCCATCCTGCCATGGGCACTTCCAGCCTCATCCATCTCATACTCACTGGCAGCATCACCCCAGCCCCAACCCCAGCCAGTATGCACAGCTTCCCAGCAAGTGGCTGGAGTAGGTAGAAGGCAGCCAGGAGCTGAAGCCCCATAGATTGGGACAGGAGCCCACTCCACTGCCACTTTCTCCTTGCTTGGCTGGGCATGTGGGGCATTGTACACATGTTTGTGCTGCAGCACTTGGCGCTTTTAAAAGTGCCCGGCGCTATGGCACATACATTTTATATAAATGGTGAGATGCGCGTCAGTGGTGAGAAAATGGCTGCAGAATGCTTTTAAACTAAAACACACTGAGAGCCCATCAGCTTGCATGTGGAGAAGGCTCAATTAATCTAATCTGCTCCGACGTAATGGATCTCCTGCGTGTCAGAGCAGGCAGTTGTATGTGTATAAATGCCCTTGGGCTAGGGCCAGATGTTCAAAAACCCTGATCCTGAATTGATTCAATCTTTGCAGGTTAGTTTCACCTGCCTAGGCTGAGCCGGTTGGTAACCACACAGACATCCCCTCTGGACTGAAAAATGGAGGCATGTGCCTGCGGTGGCTCAGGCTAGAAGCTGAGGGGGAGCTAGAGCAACCCTCCCCTTCCCTTCCCCTCTGCAGTGCTGAGCTGATGAGGGGCATGGCCAGGCAGGACGCTTTGATTAGGGAGGGGTTTCCCCCATCCCCAGCTGTTGATAACAGAGCATTGAGTTACACAGCAGGGAGTTAAACCTGGAGTTGTTAACATTTATCAGCCCATCAAACAAAACAAAAGCTTCTCGTATTAGTTCAAGCTCTTAAACAACTTTTTCCAAGGAAGTAACAGGGGGACTTTACCAACTACCTGTTAATTAGCTCCAAAAAGCCCTAAGCCAACACTGTCCTGTCTGCCTTTGTCCTGTCTCCCACAGCACAGACTGTGGCCAGTATGTAGTATGCTAGCTAATGCTGAGAGGTGTCTGTGCAAGGCAGAGGGGCAGGAGGAATCCTTGCTTGAGCAGGTAGTGGAGTGGGGTGTGAGTAGGAGGAATCCAGGCAGATGCTACTGTGCCTGCAGTCTCTGCCAGAGCTCCAGCCAGGGAGCAGAGGGGCAGGGCCAGCCCTACTGGGCTGGAGCAGAGAGCAGAGCCCTGCCCAGAGTTGCAAAGCAGCTGGGATGCTGTGGGACTCTGATTTAACTTAAACCAGGAAGGGGTCTGGGACAGACATTACATACACTGGTTTCATCCAAATCGGTTAAGTCTGATATTTATTACATTCAACCAGGTTTATCTCAGACTGGCTTCAGCTGTTTTCAGACTGGTTTATCTGCACTGAACATCTGTTCTGCTGCAGGTTTAAACCAGTTTCTGATCACTTAATCTGGTTTGTGTGTAATGTCTGTCCCTAGCCTTGGTGTCCAGCATGCGTTCCCGTGGCTGTTGCCACTTCCCCATGCTGTTGGTATCAAACTGTTGGCCTCCTCCCAGGCTAGGTCTGGACTTGAATTACTTTGCTCCTTGTGGGTTAGTTCTGGACAGAGTCAGTGGTGGTTTGGGGTGAGCAGCAGCAGCATAGGTGTTAATACAGCCTTTGCTTACCCCCTGCCCTACTCCCTCACTGCCCACACACATCCCCAGTGAGCCTCTGTACTTGGAAATTCAGCAGCACCTCATGGTCCTCCAATTCCCAGCCCCTCTTGGAGCCCTGTTGACCAAATGAAACTGCTTCATGGGTCAGGCCATACCTTTGATATCTTTGCTTTATGACTGCTTGCTCCAGTGCTTTTCGTCCTTCTTAGAGTTGAGGCACTCCTCCATAACTTTTGTGAACTGAGTGGCATTCCATTTCAAGAACTAATTTATTTTTTACAGTGCTTCCTTCCTTGAAGAGGGGCTGGGAAAGGAGGAGCAGCTACCAGAAGAGCCTGGGCTGCAATGTGTTGGGGTAGGAGGAATGGCTGGAAGGGAAGAGCTTACACTTACCTCCTCAAGCTTATCTCAGTTCTATCTCCCGTCTCCCAGCAGCACCCTTCAAAGCTTGTGATGGCACCCTCATTGAGAATCAGTGACTTACTTGCTCTATAAATAATTAGTATTTCTTTAGAGTTCTTCCTGAAATGGAGCAACACTTTTCCTAAGTATATTTCCACAAAAGGCATTGTTATAAGAAAAGCAATTATTATGGGAAACTGTATGCAAAGATACTGATTATTTAGTTACCATATTACATTTTTTTAAATGAAATACCTCCAGTAAATGTTACTTACTAAGCTCATTCTTAATTACATGGTGGGGTGGGGTTTTTTTGGTTTGGTTTTTTTTGGTATTGTGGCTTTACTAGCACTACTGCACTATTAAAGTAGTTGTTTCTAATAGTACATGACAAAGGTTTATGACTCTATTTTAGAGTGTGTATGGCTTAACTTTTAAAAGTTTCTTATTTAATACTGAATCTGATAGCCACAGCTGTGTGAAGTAATTAGTAATGACAAAGGTGATTTTCTTTCTTACTACTGCAGCTGTGTGTTGTGACAGCTGCTGCTTTAAAAATCTTCATGACTGGAGCAGAGCCCAATGCTTTTGATCACCTAGATTTTAGCTATTGAGGTGCCTAGGATGAAGGGCTCTGGCCTGCATGTGAGGTTTTGGGTTTTTTCCTTTTCAAACTAATCTAACGCTGACCTTGGATGTGTGACTGAAATCCTTGTGTAGGTTTTGTTGTGTAAAAAATGTACAAAATGGACATGTTGAATAAATGGTAGAAAATAGTC